ATACATAAAATACATATATTATTAGAAAAATTGTTCTTCGCTTGTCGTAAAGTCCAATCGATAAGACAAGTTTTAAAAAAATACCACATTGACACGAAGACTTGTTACAATACTCAGGTATGCTACCTTATCAAATTTTTGTTTTCTCTTAACCAAATTCGTTTGATAAGTTGAATCATTCATTAAGATTGAAGACATTATCTGCAATTGAAACAGCAACAAATATAAGTAGATAAAGCAGTGAGCTAATATATGCCCATTCTTTCTTTCCTTCTTATGTGATAAATCAAGGTCAATCGTGTAGACAAAGATGAATCCGTTCTCTATTATTAATCTAAGTACAGATGAAGAAATTTGTGAAGTAGAAGAAGGCACAAAAGTATCAATATATATACATGATTATTTTCGTTCTACATGTAATTTTTATTGTTTCCAATATTGTACAGTGATCTTGATAAAGCAATTGAAGCTGCTGCAAAAGATTTCCAACATGATTCATCATGGCGTAAGGTAGATCCTGCTGCACGTGCTCAATTAATTTACAAACTTGCTAATTTGCTGCCACGTGTTGTGGATTATTTAGCAGTAAAAATGTTCGCTCTGTTTGTTTGCATCCACATCATAAATGAATATTCAAAGATTAGAAACACTGAATAGTGAAAAACTGCTGCAAGAGAGTTATTGCGAGATTCTTGGAGCAGCTGTTTGTCTTGATTATTGTAAGCCTCTCTGGCATTCTCTTTTTTTTATTATCGATGATATTCACATGTTACAGATGCTGGATGAGCTGATAAAATCACTGGTGAAACATTTCCATCAGAATCAGGTATTTTTATTACCTATATTAGACATGAACCAGTTGGAATCTATGAACAAATCATTTCATGGTCAGTTCAAATATTCAATAAATGAAAATACAAATTGCACTTCGTTCTTTCAGTGATTATTCAGTACGATATTCTTTCTTACATATGCATCATACAAAAGTATTGTTGCCATTATATTTCAGACTGTTATGTTGGCCTTGAAACTTAGATCAGCATTAGTTTGTGGTAACTTCATTACTTCTATTAATTTACACTTGATTATATATTGCAATAACAAATAGGCAATGTAGTTATTCTTAAACCACCTGAATAAACACCACTTACTGCATTCTTTTATGCTTCTGCTATCAAAGAAGTATTATTCAACATCTATCAATAATCTAGGCTGGTTTTCCACCAGGTATTATTAACAGTGTATTAGGTAATACACATCACCAGAATGAAAACAACTCTTATAATGATATATATATGTGAGTCATGGACCTAACTGTGGTCATGAATGAAAAGATGAATAAAATAGCTTTTACAGGTTCACTCAAGGCAAGATTAGTGCAGATGAAAGACAAAATAACAAAAGCACATAATATTTTGTTTTAGGTTGGGAAAAAGATTCAAGAGACTGCAGGAAAAACTAATCTAAAGCATGTTTCACTGGAACTTAGTTATTAAAATAATCTTTCTTACCTGTCTGCGTTGTTGCCTTTTTCATCACATATAGGCAGCAAATCATCATTTATCATTTGTAAAGATACTGATCGTATGTATTAAATAATTCTATTACTTCCATTTTCATTGTGCTTCCTCATGACGAAAAAGGTTCATAAACGATAGAATTAATTTGCTTTTGCATGTTTTAGTCGATGTTGCTGCTCGAACGGCTCATAGAGCAGTTTTCACTCATGCAGATCAAGTATGTTTTGCTGCATCAAGAATATTTGTTCATTCCACATTTCACGATGCCTTTGTGTCTAAGTGTCGAATTAGCAAAGAAACGTATTATTGGTAATCCATTTGATTCTACAACTGAACAAGGACCATAGATATAGGAAAGCATTTTAAGAAAAGTGTCATAATCTAAACTATGGAAAAAACATATTGATTGAGGACTCAGAAAACAATTTGATAAGACAACAGATTAGCATTGATTTCTTTTGAGTATTCTACAAAACAGTCATACTCAATTAGAAACAATTCTTGAATGTATTCAATCGGGTAAAAAAAGTTGATGATAAAGGTTACTTTATTCGACCTACTATTTTTACTAATATAAAAGATGATATGAAAGTAGCTCGTGAAGAAGTTTGTCTTTTTTTCTCTTTTCTTCATTTCATTGAAATCGTTTTCTTCTATTGAGAATATCTCTTGGTTCCAACTTATTTTCCAATTAGTCGATCCATCGGATATATTCAGCAACAGCATCGAAATTTTTATCTATATTGGAATCGGAATCATTGGTTGAATAACACGAATAGTTTAGGTTCGATGTAAGAAACTTAGATACAATGCCATACTTCTCTAACTTCTGACGGTGCTTGACTGCAAATGTGGATCTCTCTACCAAGACATTGAACCTCATATGGTATGAAGTGAAACTTAAGACAAAAAAAACAGACCATGCAAGTTGTACGCTACAGTCTATCCAAATGATTACCTTTTTATTTCTTTCTCTAATTTACTTTATGAGTATTAGCAGAGGGTCTACTAGAAGGTTGTATGCCTCATCGCCGAAAGTGAGATCGCCGAAAGCTCAGATCGTCGAAACTCTCGCCGAAACGAACATTACCGAAAAGCCAGATCGCCGAAATTCACATCGCCGAAATACAGATTATAGATATGAACTTCATCGAAATGAAGATCGCCGAATTCCTTTCGGTCATTTATGCTTGTGAGTTTCGTTTCGGCGACCAAGCTTTCGGTCGTCACCCCTTACATTCTCTCTGAATATTTTGTCATAAGCATTCCAGTATATATACTACAATAATAAAACCCACGACAGATACTGACCAGAAATTTGCTCTCGGGACAGTTACCCACTGAACATTTGCTCCATAGCAACATTTACTACATAGCGGCAGTTGTTCGTTAGACAATTTTTCTCAGCACCCTTGTTTACCAACGGGCATTTTGTTTTCAGCTTTATCGAGAAAAAGACTGAAAAACTTGAAATAGAATGTAGTTGTGGCTCTCACCTGTACCTCCACTCTCATTCTTGTCCTAATCCTTACTCTTACTCTGACTCTCCCACTCCTATCATCTTCATTTTTGTCCCTATATTTAAACTTCTAAGTATTGTGGAAGCAACTCTTGCCAGAAAACAAATGTTATCGAAGCTATGATCTGCGAAGCAACAGTCTTGTTGTTGTAAATATCGTCTTAGAATGTCGCTGATAACTAAACAAAGAGGATTGTACATTGTTACATCACCGAAATGACAGATCGCAGAAAGTCACATAGCCGACATTGACATCGCCGAAGCCATAGTTCGCCGAAAGTTACATCGCAGAAGCCATAGTTCGCCGAAATAGAAGTCGCCGAATTTCTGCGATCTGCATTTCGGCGATGTGACTTTCGGCGAAGAGCATACTGACCTACTAGAATACCAGACAACATGGCTGGAGTAAAATTTTCGATTTTTGATTTAATTATCTGAAAATAAAGGTCGTATATAGATATTACTAAGTCCGAAATATTAACTCGATCTGATAATGATTCATTGAATTACGATGTATGTCATGGTAACAGGCCTTATAGAGTTATAATGCAAAATAATAATTTTTATTTTTGGTACTTTTTAATATACAAGTAGCGTTCATCGAGAATCGATTCACTTTTTTCCCTAGACTGAGAAATTGATATGTAATTGTTATTATATAAGGAAAATATGACCCAATAAACTATTACATGTGTATAAAAAGCTGATTTTTATAGTTACAAGTGAACAGCTTAATAAAAAACCGAATACAGAAATGTTTATGAAGTAACATTAATATATATGTGAATACACAAACAATGATTTTGAACATTGCATATATGCAAAGAGTTGTTTGATGGGAACTTTTGTTTGTTTTTATTTCTATTATTACTTAATAATTATTAATATATATATATACAGTAAATTAGTTTTGTTAATCATTTAAAGTTTTTATTTATTATTTTTTATTGTTTATAATGATTTTGTTGAAATCAAATTTTTTTTTGTAAATCACAATAATCGTGATTGAAAAAAACCTGTATTTTTTTTATGACGAGGAACCAGTTAATATATTTCTTTCAAGTTTTAAATAATATACCAAACTTTGTAAATGATTACAAAGCGTGTTAAGTTCAAAAGAGTTTGAATTATTTTGATTTAAAAATTTAAAAATATTATATACAGTTATAAGTTCACAACCGATATCATCATGGCGATGTAAATAGAAATGATTATTAAATTCATTTATAAATTTGTATATAATATTTGCATGTTTTATATAGACATATAGACATAATGTAAAACCGGTCTCGCTATATTTTTATTATACTATAACTGAACATTTCGAGCATATAGATAACATTCAATCAAACAAGTCAAGGAAAATTTTTTTATCTTCATTAAGTTAGAAAATATTATCAATTTATTCATATTTTTTTTTAACTTCCCAGGTTACTCTATACATACTCTTGATAGGTTCTAGTTCCAATAAGTGTTCTTCTGAGCCGCCAAATAAATCCAGTTCAATCGACGAATTTTCTGTATTTGTATTATCATTCATTTTTTTTCAAATCGTAATTATAAAAAAAGGAATAGAATTTTTTTTATAACTAATTAATTTATATTAGCGCTACTTGTGCTCAACAAAATTTTATCAGATTTATATTACTTTAACAAAACGATTGTAGTGTATATTTCCCTCTATTCGATGCACAATTACAAGATGTTAGAATGAATAAAACAATTAATTTACATCTGATTATATTGGAAAAGAAACGTTTTCTTTTAATTTTGACATATTGTCAATATAAAAATCATCAAGGTAGCTGATTTTATCTTTATGTTAATTGCGTGAAAATATGGAACAAATAACGATTGTTTTCTAAATAGAAAAGATCAATAAAATAGTTGATATTCTCTTCTGATTTTATTTCAAAAAAAACAAAAACTGTGATAAATAATACAAAAGAATATGTTGTTTGTCAAATAAATATTTCTTTTTTTTTTATATTAATTATATTCAATAAAATATAAAAATAACGAAATAATGAACATTTATTATTTGTCGTAATTATTTATATGTTCAGATTTACTTTAAAAACTGTAATAATTTATTATAAAACAACTGAATAGTAAACAATTTGCAGATTCGTTCGTCGTTTTGATTTTTTCAATATCATATAGAAAGAAAATCTTATTTTATTGGCTTTGCGCGCCATTCGAAATATATATTTATTTTTATTTTAACGATCACATAGTTACCATATGGTAACCGTACGTGTTACAGACAGACAGACAGACAGACACAGGTGAATTTCCGTTTCTAGACCCTATACTTTCAGTCTAGGGAATTGTAAAACTATAGCATTATTCCACGAATTAATATAGTATTGACTTTTGTCAAAAAGAAGAGCATTTTATAGGAAAAAAGGGTTAATACGATGATTTTTTAATGAAAATATGTATGGTTTTTCCTACCATGTTTTTCCATGTTTTTTTTAAGTTTTTTTAAAAGTATTTTGACCTTTGAATTAAAAAATGGGTTTCCTCAGGAATTTTATGATATCAGAAGATAGCCCGTAAAAAACTCCATCTTCTATGTGAAAATATCTAAGAAAAATCATGACTGGCTCAATCAACTTTTTTCAACAAAGTTTATCATGACGTATTTTTTATGCTGATTATAACGTGTTTTCATTGTTTCTTCATGTTAATCATTTCTCATTGACGATTTAATCTATAAGTTCATTCAATAAGCATAACTACATCGAGTAGAATGTCAGAGCCATATTTCTAATGATACTCCTATGTATATAAATGTGGTCGACCAAGTGAGCCTCACAGTGCGTAAATTCTAAATTTCGAGCTCACTTCATGCCAGTCCATTTTTTATACTTAACAGCACATAGTAGGATTCCATCAATTGTAGCCATAGGCTATGAGCATTATGTGACTGTAAGTTAGTTAATTAATTAGTACCCAACTAATTAGAACTAATTAGAGAGAGTACTCAATTAAGCAGCGCTAATTAAGGCGACTAATAGTTAGGGTAAGCATAGTTTGCAGTATACATCTGTAAAGTTTTGAGGGCTATTGGGATCATTGTTGAATGCGTTAGGAAATATTGGATTTATGAGTAATGTAAGAAACGTGTACTTGAGTTTTACTTTAGCAAGTAAGAGTAAGCTTTTTTGTTAGCTGAAGGTAATTGAGTCGCGTGATAGAGTGCCTTCGATACACAAGTAGTATATGCGGCGGAGAAAATGTTTGAAAATTTAGGTGAATTTTGAGCTCTTCTGTGGTTAAAGATCGATTGATCATTAGGTGTGCAACAGACCTGGCTCATGTGAACAAAGCTGGCTGACTAGTTCTAGCTTAGCGAACTGAGCTGAATCTATGATACACCTACTTACGGTTGCCGCTGCAGGGTAGGGCTTTAGGATTTATGGATACTCCTGTATAATAGTCCTTGAGTACCTGCAGCACAGTGGGGAGTTTTCGCATAAGCAGGCGAACATACCATTTTTTTGCCCAGAAATGGCTTTTCATTTGCTTAGAAATAATCATACATCATTCAGAGAATCATCTTTAAGAAAACAGAAAGTTTTTAAGAAAAAAATTTACGAAAAACTGTGGCTGGGGAGTACCTCAGCCATAATTTTCCGAAAACAATTTGTTTTGAAAAATATGTTGAGTTACATATTACCAAGGGGAAAACGGCGGATTTTGGATTTCTGGATTTCCATAGATTCCCAGATTCCCATGGGATTCCCAGGATTCCAATAGGATTCTCGTGGGATTTCCAGGATTCACGTGGGATTATCGGGATTCCAGGAATACGAGAATCCC